TTCAGGGGCTATGTGACTTGGTGGCAGCTTCCCACCCCCCCCACACACAGCAGAGGCAGGTAGGCTCCAGCACCCCTGCACCATCCCTGCCACCTTCCTGCCACCTGGGACCACTCGGGAATAGCTGGCTTGCCCCTGGGGTGGCTGGGTATGCTGGTGGCAAGAGAAGGTAGCAGGGACAGTGCACAGGGCACTAGAAGCCTGCCAAGGCATTAGCAAGTTGGCTTCCAGCACCCCGTGCACTGTTGCACTTTGTTAGGTAGCAAACTAAAACACCTCGGAGGCAATTTATCTTGCTACATTACAAAGTCATTTAAACTGGAATACGCCACTGAGCATGCAAACAGCAATTCCATTGAAGCAGTGCAAAAGGGCATTTAAGCTTCTTTAAAGGCCAATTTTGTGGCATGTACAAAGGCCCATGAAACTTAAATTATCTGAAGTGGGAGTTATATAGTCTTACAGCAACTCTTATACTGTGAACAGGACAATTACCTACAGATCATGGGCTATCAATCTTTCTTCCAGTGTGCACCCCCGCAATATCACCAGCCAGATGTCTATTCTCCAGGATGCATGCTTCCCCTTTGCCAGCAAGTATAGAAGTTGCCCACAATATATAAAATGGTGCAATTTGGTGCAATATATACTGTGCAAGTTGTATTGTCTAAAAGAGCAGCATCCTCCACAATACTCACCTAATTTTTAAATCCAGTGGGGAATAAAATAATTAAAGAAAAAATTGTCTCATGCAGAGCCTCTACTATTGGAGGGATCTTCAAAATGAGCAAGAAAAGCCTGCCATCTTACCTTGAAAAGACATGGATTTTGAGCTACATTGACAAAACTTCCCGAACACTATGATTTACAAGAAACTACTGGAAAGAGAAGACATAGAAAATGCCATTACATCCTTCAGAATACCAAAATAAATAAATAACAGACCTTGATGATTATGGTGAAAATGTCTACAAAAACCTTCCCCCAAAAGTGCATTCAGAAACATTTTCATTAGAACACTAAAATACTGCAACAAAGAAACTGCATTAATATAGAAGTTCTCCAATACAAATTACATGTTCACTAAGGTAATGACTAATCACTAAAGACAATGACTAATCACTTTAAAGTTGTAAAAATGAAAATGAAACATGGATTCAAACCTTACATGCAGCTCCTGAATTCAGCTTCACTTGGTAAAGCCCAGAAATATTTTCAGCTCTCTAGTGCTCCCATCAAGGGCATACTTTATTAGTAGTATCGCACTACCAGTCAGATCATTAGCCAATACGGTACACAATATTTCAACAAAAACAGTCACATTCAGTAAGACTTTGTCTTCAATTGTGAGTATTTAAATAAGAAAGCTAATCATAAAGTAAAGGGGATGAAACGAAAATCAACAAAATCCACAGGCAGGTTTTGTCACTAGACATAGTAGGAAGAGCAGGAAGCATTCAAATGAATGTTTCAGCAAGAGTCATATTATTTCTTCAGTTTCTACCTCTCATACTTCCAGCAAACTTGTTTTGACCTTTGACGCACTCTTCCAATATCATTTAAAGGAGGAGCAAAATCACATTTTTTTCTGCATAGTTAAAAAAAATAATACAGAACACTGATTCTCCAGAACCAGATATTTCCAAGTCATTTCTAAAAATATCTAATATACTAAATCACAGATGCCACTCACACCACTTCAATGCATTTAACAAAAGCAGTTCTTCCAGCTACACCACTGAAGTTATAATTACCATACCATTTACCAATACGATAAAAAATACATACAGGTCACCTATGTTAATTATCTGTAAACACAAAGATATAGGGCATCATAACTTCCTTGCGCAGTATGGTAAACATTTCTAAGAGTCTAGATTTTTCCTCTCATGTGTTCTATACGACCACTGCTAAATAACAGAATAATAAATTATTTTAATTCTTTCAGATTCCAGACTTTTCACTGTTTGAAATAGTTCAGTCATAATGGAACATCTTTGGAAGTTGTAAACATCTCCAAGGTTGACATTCTGTTTGCCTATGAATAGACTGCAACCTATTGTATATACATTTTTTAAAATAACTGGTATAGCTTGTCTGATACATAGAATGAAACACCAAACTACCATCAGCAAAAACACCTACAAAACAGACTGGTTATGAAACATAAAAGACAGATTAGAAAAAAAAATCAGAACAGCTTTATAAAATGGGCTACAAGTTCTTTCTTTTCTACACACCAAGATAAGAGGGACCCAAATCCAATTTAATGGAGTAAATGAGAGTCAATATTATGTTGAACATAATAAAATTAATTAAATTCCCTCAACCTTCACTGGAGAACAAAGAGTAAGTATATTTTTCTTGGAATAATGAACTATTGGATCACATATTGTCTATATACATATTGATTACAAAAATCAGCCTGCTAGTTCTCTGTGAGACACCATCAAAGGTGCAAAACAAAGATAGCTACATGGTGACACAATAATAAAACAATATTAATAAATACCATTAATAAAGAAAAATATCACCCTGTCCTAGCTAACTTCAGAAGATCAAATGGTTCCATTGTGTTAACTGTTCATTTTGTCTAACACCTATAACAGTTGAACATTCTAAACCAATACAGCTAATCAAAATACAGTAGCAAATTACAGCTTAGTTTAGATCGTGCTAAAACTAATTTAAGGAGTATTGGATATCAGTCAGTAAACTAGTAGTAACATACAAAAAAACAAGACAAAAATAATTGGAAATTAAAATTAAGATGTCAACATCTAGAAAGCTATGCTCCTATAACAGAGAAACTAAATAAATATCTTCATTTTAACAGAAGTTTAACCAACCCATTTACCAGCAATGTTATCTATATATATATATAACTATATCACATCTACCACCTGTATGCTTGCATGCATATAATACTTGCGTATTTTCCCAAATACTTACCCAGAAATATTTCTATAAAATGAAAGCATTTTACATGAAAGATTCACAATATTACAGGTTTCTCATACTGTACTGAGAAAATTATTTGTTAAAAACAAAAAGACTTACATTTTCCCTCTCTAAACAAGAGACTCTAGATTCATACTATATTAAAAGAGGAACAAATTTTATCCCAGTTAACATCTGCTTAGAGGAAGAAAATCCTCATTGTGTTGCTATTTCTAATGCCTTTTGAAAAACTTCGTCTGTGTTCTAGCTACACCAGGAAATGT